TGAGAAATGCTGAATTATTAACGAGCGACTTGAAGAACAAGCTGAAAAATGATCACCAGGCGCTAATTGCCGCCGGTGATCCAGATTGCTCGAACTACATGCAGAGAATTACAGAGCTACGAGCCAGTTTGAAGCAACTGCACGGTGAATTGGCAAAGTTCATCGACGATCCTGATTCTTCGTGTTCGAAGAAAACGGTGGAACGCGATTTGCAGCAGTTCTCGTTGTTAGGCACGACGTTGACGGAGATCAACGTCGAGATCGACGAATTGAGAAACGATCACGTGAGGAGGTACGGTAAAATTGGCGGTAACGACGGTGTAGAGTGTTTGAATAAAATAGAGGAGCTGATAAGAATGGTCGAGAAGACGCGAGAGACGATGAGCGGGTTGAATGATAATCGTGGAGCGGAGGGAAATTCGAACGAGTGGAGGGACATCGAGAGATTAGAAGGTCTCGTTGGTAACGTGTGCGACGGGATGGAACAGCTGGAGGTGATCGTGACAGCCGGGGATCGTTGGAATATGTCGAGAAGTGTGGAACAGCTGGAGGGGGTGATCGTTCGATTAAAGTCGGAATCGAAGGAGAAGGACGAACACGTGAACGTTCTGTGCCAGGAGTTGTTTGACATGAAAAGTTTGGTGGAACAAAGGAACAAGGAACTGAAAGGCGAACAGGGAAAAGTTGCCTCGCTACTAGACGAATACAAAGCTTTGAAAGGGAGAACAAAAAGAATGGAGGAGGAGAGGAGGACGGAGGAGATTCAGCGTGAACAGGAGGGCTCGAGAAAGGAGTTGGAACAACTGCAACAGGTGAAACGCGAGGCAAGCATGGTGAAAAAAAGATTGCAAAATCTTGAGGCCGATAAGGAGGGGCTGTTGAAGGAAATGGGTAGGATTCGCGAGGTCCTCCAGAAGAGGGACGAAGAGGCGAAGGTTGCTGAGAAAGAAGCGACGGAGAAGACAATGGACCTGATGAAGAACGTTTCGAGGGAGAACGAGAAACTGCGGAATAAGATAAACGAATTGGAACGAGCTAAACGGAAAGAACGAGAGACTGTTGTAGGTGTCGAGAAGAAAAACGTGGATGCGGAAAAACGCTCGCGGGAAACATCGAGACAGACGGGTGTCGAACTGGAGCGACTGAGGGGGAACTTAGCTGTGTCAAAGGAGGAATTGGATCGCGCGAATCGTGAGATCGTCGATCTGAAAGCCAAATTGGAGCATTTTTCCAGCGACAAGACGAGACTCGAAACGAGCATCTTTCATTTAGAATCGAAGAAGGAGATTCTCGTGTATCAGCTGGGCGCGGAAAAAACTACAGCCGAGGAGAGGGTGAAAGAGCTAGCGAAGTTAGAATCGAATTACAACGAGTTGGACGTTGAAAGAACGAATCTGAAGAACAAGAAGGAACAATTGAGCGTGGAACTGGCGAATTTGAAGATCGAGAAGAAATCTATGGAAGAGTCTGTGGAACGTGTTCGCGTGAAATGTTCCACGCTTGAGGACGAGATCGATAGATACAAGTCTGAGTGTGACAATCTACGCGAGGAGATGAGAAACCTTAAGACGAACGGGGAGAATTTAACCGCGAAACTGGAAGAGACGCGATTGGAATTGAAGGGAGCCGGAGATAAAATAAGCCAGTTGGAATTCGAAAATTCGAAGCTCGATAACGATTTGAACGGGTTGACTTTGAAGAACGCCGGGTTTGAGGGCCACGTGCAAGTGCTTCTGTCAGAAAAGAATGAGCTCGCGACGTGTATTAACAAGGTGCAACAGGAGAACGTCTTGCTGAAGGATCAGCTGAATGAAGTTAAAACGGCGAACGAATATTCTGCCGTCGAATTGGATAAATTGAGAACGGCGTGTGACAAAGCGAGATCGGAGAACACGGTGCTGCAGGTCGCGCTCGATGAAACGGGGAGGAAGAACGAGACGCTGAGAGAAACAGGGGAGGAGCTGAAGCTGAGGCTGGCCGAAATTCACAGCGAATACAGGATACTGAAAAATCAGCTGAAAATTTTGCAGCTGATGAACGCCACTTTGAGGAAGGAGAAGGACATGCTGGAGCACGAGTACGCGAACAGTCTGCGATTGAACCTGTCGCGGATGGAGAAGGAAGAAGGATCCGTAGTGTACAGCGAACGAGGTAAGCAAATTGCGAAGCCTTTGACGGGCAAAGCAGCGAGTGAAACGAAACGAGACAACCTGACGAAATCCAGCAAACACGGGAAACAGAAAACGGTGGCGAGGAAGGACGTGAAGAAGCTAACGGTGGAGAACGAATCATTGAAATTCGAGATACTTCATTTGAGAAGTCAGAATTTCGAAGTTAAAGTGGAATTGACTCGGTTGAAGGAAGAGCTTCAGAGACAGCAGATAGATTTATCGAACGGTAGAGAGAGCGATGTTGCGATTAAATCGAACAAGCCAGAGATCGTGGATCTTTATTACAAAGAAATTAGCAGCTACTCGAGTCGCGATAATAACGTGAGCACGGTGGCTTGTATCGATCAGTCAAGTGTATGTCCTTACGACGTGTCGTCGATGGAAGAAGAGGCTGGAACAGATATCGAGAGATTGCTGGAAATGATAAATAAGCTAAAAGTGGAGAACGTTGCTTTAAAGATAGAGGTGAACTCTCTGAGGTGCAACCTGGTTGTTAATTTTGTAGAAGACGAGAAGAGAAGGAACGAGGTGCGGGATACAACGGAAGAAATTGGAGCATTGAAAGTGGAATTGACGAAGGTGAGGGAAGAGAAGGAGTCCTTGCGGGTTCGACTGGATACAGCTGGAACGAAATTGAATCAGTTGGAATCTGAGAAGGCCGCTTTGAAGGATGAGCTTTATACCTTGAGGAAAATCAATTCTGACTTCAAACACAAAGTGAATGAATTACGGTGTGATTATCAGAAGTTGAAAGAGAGGAGCGGAGGATTCGAGAATTGCATCGTGAGAGCGATCAAGAAGATAAAGAAGCATACGACGAGTACGGAGGATCGGAATAGTCCGGCTAGCGAACTGACGTGTCTTTTGAAGAGGTATATTTCGGATGAAAATGTGATGTGCTCGATCGAACAGGGAATAACTATGGAAGGAACGTGAATGAGTCAATTTTCACGATGATACAATGTGCAAAAGCTTCCATTGCTTTTAAAAAAGACACCGTATGTTTCCTTTTTTATTAAAATTGTCATACTTATCACTTCAGTGAATTAAAGTTAATTACCGAATGTAATACTAAAAATGAATACAGTACTAATGTAATATATTAAAATTGTCACACTTCATATTTATCACTTCAGTTAATTAAATATACCGAATGTAGTACTAAAAGTTAATGCAGTACTGATATAATATTATTACTATTTTTGATGACAAATTATAAGTATGATAAAAAATAAATACGCTTTCAGTTATGGTATTGATATCGTGTTTTCATGATTTTGATAACGACGAATTATAAATATAATAAAAAATAAATACGCATTTTCCAGAAAAATATGAGACAGGAAATTTTTCACAGATTTAATAGTAAAATTGATTTGTATTTTGCAATAAAAAATGAAATACAGATGGCAAAAATGAGATGCACTTTAGACACTTGAAAAAGTTTCGATAATAAAATTCATTATTTTTTCTCGAGCAGCTTGAAATATGATTTTAAATGGTAATTCGACAAGCCGAGCTACTCTCCCGAATATTTAATCAGCCAAATCTCTGTTTTAACAAGACATAAGCCGCACCGATACTTCTCCATGATGCTTTCAAGTTCGTGAAAAGAGTTGCTAAGAATCTCGGAAGTTCCTTGAAAGAAACTTCAAGGTCCAGTTAGTTTAATTACTAATTTATTTCGAGAAGTTTCTCCTAAGTACTTCGAACACCGTTCTCCCACAGTATAAACGAATCACCGTTATAAATATTTATTAAAGCAGATATTTACCAGGCTTGGTACTTGTCGAAGAATAAACGAATCAAACGGTCGTGTCAAATATTTGCGAAAGAAATGAACGAAGAGAAATTAAAGTAAAATATTCCAACATTAATTAGATTTATCTTCGGTTCGCTATCTGCAAATATTAAAATACCTGCGAAAATACTTATCGCTGGCTGTGCTGTAAATTATATCGTTCATGTGCTCTTCGTCGCTTTGAAAAAAATAAATTAAATTGAAATTAAAAAATTTCATAATTTCAACTTTACCGCATGATTATTCTTTGAATTAATAAACTCAAGAAATATTAAATGGAACAGAAATATAAGTGTAAAATATCATGATTTTCTGACCAAAACTATTTTTCCTTAGTTCGAAAGGTATATAAATCAAAACTTTATCAAAAATATAAAATGTATTCATCTAATTGGAGCAATATTTTAACAAACTTATAATAATCTTCACTAATAGTATGTAGTACTGAAATTCAGTGGCTATGGAAAAAATTTACCATCTCTAAATAGTTATCTTAGTTAAATTAATAAAATTTGATGTAAGAAAAATTGATTAAATACTGAAAGAACTTTTAGTAAAATTTATCACAGTAAATGATGCATCAAACCATTCATCGTACCAGCAAAATAGTCTCTATGCTTGTAACAATGCCGGCGCGAAGAAAGTAGCATTATACCGCAATAATGCATAATCGTGAAACCGAGTCGCGCTGTTATGGTCGTCCTTTGTGAAAGCTAAAATTCTCCGTTAAGATTATTCGAACAAAAAAGTAAAGCTTGTTTTGTAACATAGTTTCTGCTCATCCATCATCCAGTACCACGAGACCTTTGGGTTCTCGATGCGAACTGCGCGTGGGTGGACAATCTTCGAACCCTTCTCAACAACCCTTTTCTTTCGCCTAAAACTTGGTCCTCTGACCTCTCGGATATTCAGAGACTTGTCTGCCCGTGGCAGCTACTTAGGTATCGTATCACGTATTAATAGACGGTGCAGCATTTAAATGATATTCAGAAGTGATGCGAGAGAAATGCAAAGTAGCCACGGCCGAAATTCTATCGATGGTTCAGAGCTGTTCAGTGACCTATTGAATATTGTCAGACTCGTAAGCTGATAATTTCTATAATCTCAGTTTTAACCATCTTAACTTTTATAAATTTAGTTTTAATAATCTTAATTTTCATAATCTCAGTTTTAATAATCTTAGGTTTCTCAATCACAATTTTAATAATCTTAATTTTCATAATCTCAGTTTTAATAATCTTCATTTTTATCATCTCAATTTTAATAATCTTAGTTTTCTTAATCATAGTTTTCTCGTTTGTTTATACTTTTCTCTTATCGACTTACATAGTCTAAATTTTGTATGATTTTTGCGAATTTTAAAAAATGAAGATAATTCGATTATAATGTAAATAATTCTCAAAAACGTGAAATGTATAATAATTTAAAAAACAACAAATTATAAAGGTAGTTTATAATATTTACCGACGGTTAATCAAATTGATTAAACATACTATTCGACTTTTTGAAAAATAATTTAAGAAGAACATCTGAAATTATTATCCTCTTCTGTTACAAGCATACTAAATATAGTCGTATATATAATTACGTACTCTTAAGCAATAAAGGAAGATAATTTGCCAGTAAATATGTCACTAAACTTTGCATTTCAAGATATATCAGAAACAAACACAGGATTGTAATGTGAACGCGTTGCATTATACGACGTAACCGGTTGAAATTCAATTTAACCACTCATCGCATAAATGTCGTTATGCTTAACTGATAAGAAACCAACTAAAAGGGTTATCGATCATATATACGTCTAAAAGTGGATTACACCGTGATTGCGTAACATGGGTAATGCGAGTTCATTCTAGATTGTATATCGAAGAGCACAGTAAGTAGTTCTACTTTCCTCGTTTCTCACTGCATCGTTCATTTACTCTTCCATTAGATTACCCGGAAAATTCGTATCGATTTTCAATTAAACAACTAAATTCCATATTCTAAAACAACAATTTATCTAAGTAAAGTATAAATATCTAAATAAAAAGAAAAAACTAATATTTACTGTTTTACCTTCTCGCTTTTTTACTTTCATATTATCCCGCCACTCGTATTTCTATCTCTCTCGATCTCTGTGAGCTTAACGAGCACACAATGACCTTCCCTATCGTGGTCCATGGAGGCGTATCTCCGGCAACGAGTTAGTGCCAACATACTCATCCCCGTGAGGAGGCAAACAGCCCACTAATTAGCAAAGGTCGAACTAGTTGTGTTCACAGTTCTATCTACCTATGCAAAGGAACGTATCAAAGGCTAGGTTAGGATTTCACCTAACTGACACGATGTTAAGTAGCCGAACTTCCTACAGTAATGTCTCTCGAAACGCAACTCGAAGCGCTTCACATAATGCAACTTCCTGGCTGTCCCCACCATTTCTTGGAATTTCAGGTCAACAGACGATGACTCATCCCGACTGACCTGTGCAAATGAAATTTTTGTCATTTTTGTTTTATCGCGCTGTAAAGATTGTTAATGAATTTGCGAGGTTTTTCTGATTAAAATGAGTCTAAACACGGTATAGATCGATCAACTGAACGAGAAGGCATCTGGCATTTTATTATCTCTTAAGATGAACGTTTAATAAGAGTTTCTGTTAATACGGGACAAAGTTCATTTTAGTGAAAACCTCCCATACACGTATAGAACAATTTTCACAGAAAGATGCTTTTAAATAAAAAAAATACAATAGTGCTACAATATTGTTATCATAGTCTTAGGACAAACATTAATAAGCTTGGTATTTTTTTTTAATGGTTTATAAAATATTGTTGTTATAATATAGTAGAGAATATATAACAAATAAAAAGAAAAGATTTACGGTGCCGGCATTAGCGCAAGCGGTAAAGGCGCAACTTTCCTCTCCCTCAGAGTTCAGGGAAAATCGCAAGTTCGAATCCCCTTTACTTTGTGTGAAAAACCATCCTCTTTTTCCCTTTCGGACTTCTACGCCAAAAATGAGTCAGCAGTTATATTTGAACAGTGAATATAACGGCGTTACATTAATGGCAGAGTAAAGCGAAGGATTTGGTATTTTCACAATGTTGTCGTTCTGACAATTAAATTATTAAAATACAATCCTTCGTGGTTCCCCGGAGAGAGAGAAGAAGAGAATCCATTCAAACACGGGAAAAGGGGAACATACAATCTCATATTTTTAGCTACTGCACACAAATCTGCTTTTTAAGATCACATGTAATCGGAAAATATTGGTCCATACATCCATTTTTACATCTAATGCTTCAAATTTCGAAATATAAATATCTAACCTTCAAAACGTTTAAAACTTTGAACGTACAAAGTATAATAGAATAAATGTATACAATGTTGTCTCTTGTTCTATTCAATATTATTCATATTATTTTATTTGAAAAATAAAAAGAATATTAGTACTTCTTTTAGTTTAACGTTTGTTATATTTTGAAGTGCATTTCTTTGAATGTCAGCAATTACTTATTTATACATATTTTACTTTCTTATGGGTACGCGTTATTTCAAAATGAAAATACATTTCCTGTTTTTAATAAATGTTTACTAAATATGTTATTAAATGACCATGCTTTTATATTTGTTCTTACTTTTACGTTTATGTTGCTCGATAATAATGATGATGATGATAACAGCAACAACGACACAACAGAACAACAGTAAGAACAATAATGTCAAAATTAAACTGTTGTATGGTGTTACATAAAAGTATTTCAAACTTGGACTAGTAACAGTTTCAAATAATTGAAATATAAATTATTATTTAAAAGATTAATTTCGTAAAAATTGAAATAAAATAGTTATGTAATAATTACTTTCATGTGTTATTTTATGATCAAATTTGTATAAAGTTTTTTATAATTATTTTCCACAAATCACAGATTTAAATTTAGTTACCCAAAGGCTTATCTTCAATTAGCAAAGAATCGTGAAGTTGGCAGTGAAAATGTAGGAACATTTTAGTGATTTAGCTTGGTAATATTAATTGACGATCAACTCTCAAGAGTGTGCGCTGTAGCTTCATTCGTTCGGCGACAATGGCGGCAGACCTTGATCAGTTTCAACAGCTTTTAAACACACTCCTTAGCACGGATAATGATGCCAGAACGCAAGCGGAGGTATGTATATTTCTTCTGATTTTTAGACGCATATTTTGTACGTATTAATATTTCAAGAAACATAAATAATGTGAAACAAGGTACTTCATTTCCGAACACGTTGCCAACGTGTTGTCAGAATTCGCATGTGGGTACCGTTTACTGACTGTCCCAATTGAATCACAATTCTATTTTTACTTTTACTATTAGATACTTTCATAGAACATTAATACTATTAATTCTGTAACAGATATGATTAGTAATTACGATGAATACTGACAAGTGTTTAGAACAACCTAATAAAATCCAAAATGGTGTCGCGCGGTAGCATGCACCCCGCCAACCTTTTATAAAGTTTCGTGGTACTTCTAGTTCGACGCAAATGTATATTTTATCCAAGTCTTTTCTACAACTACTCGGGATATATGTACAATTCTATGAACACTAGAGAATAAAGTAATCGACTTTTGAATTAAATAACACATAATATATAGCGTGACTACTTAGCAAGATTGATAATTTGTGTATTTCGCTTTCCCGCCTACACGCGACCGTATTCCATAGGGTTTCCGGCATTTCTGAATCTGCTTTAGATGATACAGGAAATGCCTTGATTTATGTGGATATATTTTAAATTTCATGCATTTATGATTACATTATTGTCGTCTTTTAAATGAATATTTTCACGTTTCTTATTTATTTGCATTTATCACATGTGCGTTTGAAATACGAATAAAACATGACCATGTGTCATTTTCAGGCACCATGTGTTTTTTTACTAGTTTCATTCGGATTAGTTAAACTGTGTAGTTATAGGTCATTTTGTAGGTAATGTAATGCTTTTTTATTAGTGTATTGTTTTAATATTGTCTGATTAAACTATAAATTCAGTAATAAGTACAAAATATATGAATATTTTATGAATATGATAAAGTGTTCCCATTGAACATTTTATTATTCTGAAATGTTAAATTGTAACAAAATTAAATTATGTAATAAATATATATCTAACATTTTAGGAGGCATACAACAATCTCCCAGTGGATAGCAAGGTGACATTTCTTTTAACCTCTTTGTGCAATGCCACCCTTACAGAAGAGATGCGTGCTATGGCTGCTGTCTTATTACGTCGACTGTTTTCCTCTGAGTTCATCGATTTCTATCCTAAAGTAATTATATCTTTATTGTATTTATTGTAAAAAATATTTATAGCAAGCTAAGGACTAAAATACTTTCAATCACATAATGCTTTCTGTAGTTTATGCCAACAACTATTGCCAATGATAAAGTAACCTAATGTAGCTTGTGAACTATAAGTCTATATCATTTATTAATTCAATATTAATTGTATAACATATTTTACATTATGAATGTACATTTAAGGTGTTTTATCTTTTTGTACATGTAAATTGTACCAAAGTAGATGAGATATACATAGATAGATATAGTAGATGAGAAATAATATATTATAGCAATTCATAATTTTAGTTAATTTCTTACATATATATCTATTTAACACTAGGTTTCGGACTTCATGAGCAAAATTACAGATACCATTACTATTATTTTCTTGCAATTTTTGCTGACTTTTATTGATGGAATGGTATGAATATATACCCAAATCTATTTCCCTCTCAGCTCTGTAATTTCAAAATTCTGTATGATGTATACCTATTTCTCCGGATACCCGTCAAATTTCATAGTTAATCGTAATAAACCGGCTTTATTCATGAAATTATTTCTCCGGTAACAAATGTAAAAGAAATCAGAAAGTAGATACTAAATAAAAATTATAATTGCTCGGAAATATCTTTCGACTGCGTCGAGCACAATATCAACACGCCGCGTCGATTTACACAATATATGCCAAATAAGCTTCATAAATTTGGCATAAAATTTTGGTTGGCAGCCGATGTTAAAACGAAATATATTATAAATGGTTTTCCTTATTTGGGTAAAGATGAAACCTGATCTTCGACACCTTTGGGGGAATTTGTAGTCTTGAAATTAGCTGAACCATGGTGGAAGCTGAGGAAGAAATGTAACTAAAGATAACTTTTTCAGCAGTTTACCACTTGCAAAAAAATACTTATACAAAAAACAACTTTGGTTGGGGACCCAAAAATAAAAGAATTGTTACTAAGCACAAAACATACATTTGCGAAAGTTGAGAACAATTACAAACGTGTCCCAGAAACAATTAGATTTTACAAGACGACCAGGTTTGGAGTAGATGTAGTCGATCTAATGGCGCGTAAATACAGTGTGAAAGCAGGGTCTTGCCGGTGGCCTCTTCAGGTTTTTTACAACATTTTGGATTTGGCAGTCATAAATGCCTGAATATTGTACAAAGAATGCACTGGTTCTAAAATATCCAGAAAAAATTTCATATTTCAATTAGCCGAAGAACTTATCGACGAATACAAGAAAAACAAATCAATCAGTTCCTTCTTCCATCAGTTAGCAGTTCATAAATACGCAAGTCTTGTTAAATCGGCTATTCCAATAAAAATAGAAGTAATAATATTTGTATTAAGTGTAAGAAGAACGTTTGCGGAAAATGTATACACAAAATGGAATGTGTCTGTAAAAAATTAAATGTATATGTATAGTAAAAGTTTGTATAAGTTAATTAAATCTGTTAATATTGTATAACCTTTTGGGCACAGACATCACAGTCTGTACAGCTATCATAGAGATTTACCAGCTTAAGAATATTTTCGGCCATTACCTCTGATGGTTTAAACATTTTATTTCAAATAAACCCATGTTTTATGCAACCAACATAACCAAATTGTTTTTAAATTAAATTAATCGTTTTTTTTTTTTTTTTTAAAGAAAATACGTGTTTTCCTTCACCCTTCAATTTGACGGGTGTCCGTAGAAATAGGTATACAAGAAATGTCCGTAAACCTAGTGTTAATTATGAACATATATACTTGTTGCATTAATATTATTATATTCCCAGATTCCACCAGAAGCCCAAGTTCAGTTGAAAGAACAAATTTTATTATCTGTTCAAAATGAACAAACAGAAACTATTCGACGTAAGGTTTGCGAGGTTGCAGCCGAAGTCGCGCGAAATTTAATTGATGAAGATGGTAACAACCAGTGGCCAGAATTTCTGCAGTTCCTATTCCAATGTGCAAACAGTCCTGTACCAGCACTGAAAGAAAATGCTCTTCAAATGTTCACGTAGGTTTACAGCAACATTCTAATTTTCAATGTAAACTATACTATTTCTAGTATGAATAAGGTAATTTTTAATGATACACTTATATGCATATGCAGATCCGTCCCAGGTGTATTTGGAAATCAACAAGCAAATTATCTTGATCTTATCAAACAAATGTTGCAACAATCTGTCATGGATACTGCAAATTACGAGGTAGGATAAAATACTTTCTTCAAGAATGGAAATCTATTTAATATAACAAGGAAGAATGATACACGAGATTCGAACAATTAAGCCTTTCGTCACAACTTCTTCCTATAAAAAAAATTGTCCTCTGATGACTGTAATTTGTGAAGTTTTAATTTACAGACAGATACGGGGCAAACAGAAATTAAAATTGTTTTGCAATGATTAAACATATTAAACTGTACTACTTGTACTTGCAATGTTTATTATTAATTTATATGCTTGCACATACAATTAAAATATTTCTTTATATAAATTTTAGTATCATGATAATTATAATGTATAATGTATTTTACCATAGGTCAGATTTCAAGCAGTAAGAGCAATTGGAGCTTTTATCATTTTGCATGATAAAGAAGAAAATATACAGAAACATTTCTCAGAACTACTACCAGCAATTGTACAAGTAATTGCTCAGTCAGTAGAGAAACAAGGAGATGATGCTCTCTTAAAAGTTTTGATCGACTTGGCAGAGTCGACGCCCAAGTTTTTGAGATTACAGTTAGAAACTATAATGGAAATGTGTATGAACATATTTTCTAATGAAGATATGGCTGATTCATGGAGACAATTAGCATTAGAAGTATTAGTAACATTAGCAGAAACTGCTCCTGCCATGGTACGTAAAGTTGGTGGAAAATATATTGCATCCTTAGTACCATTGGTACTGAAAATGATGACAGATATAGAAGAAGATGAAAAATGGAGTTTTTCTGATGAAATTGTGGATGATGACAATGACAGTAATAATGTCGTTGCCGAAAGTGCTTTGGATAGATTAGCATGTGGTTTAGGAGGTAAAACGATGTTACCACAAATTGTACAAAATATTCCTTCAATGTTGAACAATAGTGACTGGAAGTATAGGTAAATATTTTTGAGTTTTTTTTTACAGCATTGTCATCACAGAGTAGTCAGCAGTTATATACTTTATGTAAATAATTGCGTTACATCTGTGATAGAGTAACCAACGGGATCATTCTCTGTTTTACCTATCGTTCTGATAGGTAGAAATTTGAGGTTCTCGAAGGATGTTCTTTTAAAGGAGAGTTGACAATAATGTTGTAGCATCATTGTCATAGGCTTAGAACAAACATTCATATTTTTGCAATCTCTTAAAAATGGTTTGCAAAGTTATAGTAGCTATTATAAAATGTTTGTAATGTAGGCATGCTGCTCTTATGGCGATATCAGCTGTTGGTGAAGGTTGCCATAAACAAATGGAAGCGATATTACCCCAAATCATGGACGGAGTTATACAATATTTACAAGATCCCGTAAGTTTAATTACAATAAATTCAAATAAAAAATCATATGGTCAGGGAGCTTTAAGACCATTAGCGTGAAGATTTACTATGTTGCCATTCTGACAGAAGCATACAAATTCATATTTAACTATTGTATACAAGTATTCTCTTTCATTCATTAATTACATCTATTTTTACAGCACCCTCGTGTAAGATACGCGGCTTGTAATGCAGTGGGTCAAATGTCAACTGATTTTGCGCCTATATTTGAAAAAAAATTTCATGATAAAGTTATTCCTGGATTATTGATGGTTTTGGATGATAATGCAAATCCAAGAGTTCAAGCTCATGCTGGTGCAGCGCTTGTAAACTTCAGTGAAGATTGTCCAAAAAATATATTAACGCCATATTTGGATGCTATTATGGCTAAATTAGAATCAATACTTACCGCTAAATTTCAAGAATTGGTTGAGAAAGGCACTAAACTTGTTCTTGAACAAGTAAGGATGTTGATTACGTGCAGTCAAATACGAAAAATACATATACGATTATAAGCTGTTACTATTTGCTTTGCAGGTCGTTACAACTATCGCTTCCGTTGCTGACACATGTGAAGAACAGTTTGTAACATATTACGATAGATTAATGCCATGTTTAAAATATATTATCCAAAATGCTAATCAACAAGAACATAAAATGTTGCGTGGTAAAACAATCGAATGCGTAAGTCTTATAGGACTCGCAGTAGGGCCTGAAAAGGTATAATAATATTAAATCTATAGCAGTTTGTAATTAACAAAATACTTTATTGTTTCCTTATGTACATGTTACATAACTAAATTTTTATGATTATATAGTTCATTGCAGATGCCAGTGAAGTTATGGATATGTTATTAAAAACTCACTCAGAAGGAGATCTTCCAGATGACGATCCACAAACAAGTTATCTTATATCAGCATGGGCTCGAATTTGTAAGATTCTTGGTATGTTACTTAAACTTTTATTAAATTTTTTATTAAAATGTCACAATTTTCATCTTAACAATTGTTGCAATTATAATACTTCAATTGCTTAGGTAAACAATTTGAGCAATATTTACCTTTGGTAATGGGTCCAGTTTTACGAACAGCAGCTATGAAACCTGAAGTTGCTTTGCTGGATAATGAAGACATGGAAGGTATAGAAGATGTTGATTGGGAGTTCATTTCTCTTGGAGAACAACAGAACTTCGGAATTAAAACAGCTGGTTTGGAAGATAAGGCTTCTGCCTGTGAAATGTTAGTTTGCTATGCTCGTGAATTGAAGGAAGGTTTCGCAGATTATGCAGAAGAAGTAGTACGGCTAATGGTTCCTATGTTGAAGTTTTATTTTCATGATGGTGTTAGAACAGCAGCTGCTGCAAGTTTACCATATCTCCTTGACTGTGCAAAAATTAAAGGTTAATTATCAATAATTATACACAATATTAATTTATCTTTATAAGATAAAAGATGTATAACAATTGAATTACAGGTCCACAATATCTTGAAGGGATGTGGGCTTATATTTGTCCCGATCTTTTAAAAGCAATTGATACAGAACCCGAAGCTGAAGTTTTGCTGGAATTGTTATATTCATTGGCCAAGTGTATAGAAACACTTGGTGCAGGTTGTTTGGGAGCACAACCTATGGCTGAGCTCTTACGTATATTAGATAAATTACTTGTTAAACATTTTGAAAGAGCAGTAGCTAGATTGGAAAAACGTAAAGATGAAGATTATGATGAGGTGAGATTGTATAGGAGGCTACGATTTAATATTAGAATGAATTGTGTTTGTAACTTAAAATTTTTAATCAAATTTATAGGTTGTTGAAGAGCAACTTGCTGATGAAGATAATGAAGATGTATATACTCTAAGCAAGATAACAGACATTTTACATGCTTTATTTACCACTCATAAATCTTCATTCTTTCCTTTCTTTGATCAAATTTGTGGACATTTTGTTAAATTGTTAAGTCCTGAAAGATCTTGGTCGGATCATCAATGGGCTTTATGTGTTTTTGATGATGTAATAGAGTTTGGAGGACCTGAATGTACAAAATATCAAGAATACTTTTTACGACCAATGATACAATACGTGTCAGATAAATCAGCAGAAGTAAGACAGGCAGCAGCTTATGGTTGTGGGGTTTTGGGGCAGTACGGGGGAGAAGCATTTGCTCAGGCATGTGCTGAAGCTTTACCTAGGTTAATGGAAGTTATAAACGATCCAGAATCTAGGTCGCCTGAAAATGTAAATCCAACTGAAAATGCTATTTCTGCAGTAACAAAAATTCTGAAATATAACAATAAAGCAATCAATGTTGATGAAATACTTCCGCATTGGTACGTTTTTGATCCATAGTACATATGCTTTTGTCTGTATATAAATTTACTAATAATGAAGTGTGGATAATAAACCACCTATGTAAACACAGGCTCTCTTGGCTACCAGTGGTAGAAGACGAAGATGAAGCACCTTACGTTTATGGATATTTATGCGATTTAATCGAAGCAAATCACGTAGCAGTTTTAGGACCAAATAATGCAAACCTACCTCGGTTAATAAGTTTTTTTGCAGAAGCACTTTTTAAAGATGCAGTACCTACAGATAATCCTGTCATGAGCAGAATTCTTAGTATCGTTACACAAATACAGGTATAAGCAAAGATAATATAAAGAATACTACATGAAATACTTTCACTATTATATATGTACACTGTAAATAATAATAATACTAATGACTATTAATATGGTTTGTTTCAGAACAACGAGTCTATGTTCCAGGCATGCATAAATGCATTAACAGGAGATCAACAACAAGCGTTGCATGAGGCACTTAGTGCACCACCTGCTAATTAGCCGTTTGCTTTCACTCCTTGAAATATAATACTTTAATATAAAAGAAAAAAAAATACATTTGCTTTAATAAAGCTTATGGAGAAATCACAGATTTTAGGTAGCTACATTATACCTATGGAACATTTTTGCGCCAGCCTAATTACGAAGAGAGACGTAACTACTGTATGTAACTACTTGATATAACTCACATATTTGTTGATTGTATTTCATAAGTAGATACAATAGTCATCCATTTTTTACTATTCGGAATTGTTGCAAATTATATACAACAAAACTTATGCTTGTCACTACTTGATAAAGTGTGATATGTTATAAATCTAGCAATATAAAATTAATTAAATCATAAGTGAGTTCGCACTGACGAAATTTTTACAATTCATTTTTTCACTTAATTCGTAAAAGTAATACAATTGTACATATGTGGATTTATTTTTAACATAGCAGAATTAGAACAAAACTACATTTTCCGCCATTGCGAGCCGAACGATGCTAAATCTTTTTTTTTAAAGTAGCTTTGTAAATTGCGTAGTATTTCTAAACATTAATTGTAGCTTCGTTCTACGAATATTAAGAAACTTATACTTTTGTCATTGCGATCTCTTCGTCCCAATTATCTGCACTCTGAAACTACTTTTTTGGCAGAATAATAAAACTGCGAAAAATAGACTGGAAAAACATCAATTCATTGCCATCGAATAATGGCATAACATATTGTGATTTAGGTATTTTTATTATTAAATTTAGGTACAGTAAATGTTATTTAATAATAATATCAATAATATTACAGCGTTGAAGTTAGACGGAACTGTATACGAATGCCTTTTAAATGAAACGTAATGAACTGCTCTGAAAGCTTTGTGCTTCGGATGAGATTGTTTAATAATTCTAATTCAACGAATTGTATTGAAACAAAAGGTATACATTTTCAGTTTGATATAAAACATATTTGTCCTTATAATTTTACAGCCAATCTACATTGACTTGTTACGCTTATTTAGCTGTAATTTTTCACTTTATTATCATGTCATTTAAAAATACAAAATGACAATGCGATCAAGACATTGAATTAAATTGAAACAGTAACAATGCTGGGCATTACGTTTCTTCCGGTTATTGTGTAATAACGATGTGAATTAAGAACAGTGATGTTAAAAATATGACTGAATGAAGTAACGTTACGATTTCCTGTTCTTGTTGCTATTTATTTGTACACAATAATTGCCACGATATTTACTATTGCATACAAATTTGCAATGGAAAATATTTCCCACATAAAATCTGCGGCTAATTGCAACAAAATCCTCCAAAATTTTTTTTAATATGACAAGGGAATAGAAATAATAGTCGGACATTTATTTGTATATACGTATATCAAAACATAAATATTAAAAATAAGTACGTAAAATTAAATTTCTCAAATGTAATTATCATTGATCATTGATAGGCATTACCTCATTAATTATTTCATGATGACCAACATCAAGATTTTGTGAAATGAATACAAGTAATGTGCGACTATAAACATTACATTAAGAATTACTGAAGGACTGTTTGTGCGATATATTGTGACAAAAAAATGTGGAAACAAAATCAATATGAAAAAAAAAAAATT